TGTCTAGGTACTCCTGTGTATTCAGTCTCAAAGCTATATATCTCCAGTGTCAGATCTAAGACAGTGCTGCCTCTGACTGCTGGTCTTTGGAGATCTGGAGTGAGATGTCATGATGTCACTATCAAAACTGCAGTACAAACTTCTCCCTGCTTCTGCTTTATCACTTTTATGGATCTGTGCTTTCTTATCCCAGGGTCCAATCAGTATTAAAGACGGGCCTGAACAGTACATTCTTGACTGATATGCATTTGCTCTGCATTAAAGTGTCCCTAGAAAAAAATACTTACCCCCAATACCGAAACTTCCGGTCAGAGCGAGATTTCCTCTGTCTGGCAGTGCAGCGAGGGAACGTGGAGCCGGCCAAACAAATGACCTGGCTCCCTGATTGGCTTTGAAGCCGGCTCCATGCTAGCGGAAGTACCAGTATCGGTACTCGGCATCAGCGAGTCCCGAAAGATAAATATCGGTACTCGATATCGGAAAAAAATGGTACCGGTGCATCCCTAATAATATTATATATAACTTTTTTTTTTTTTTATGAGTAGGAAGAGCATGGATGTACAGTAAACCCATAGTAACCGATCAGATTTAGGCTGTTTAACCGCTTGCTCTCCATCCGTTGTAAATGAACAGACGAATGGCAACCTCCTATCACCGGGCTCATGTAAATCAGGTCTCCCACTGCTGATCTCTCCTCCGATGCTTGAAGACGGAAGTGATGTGTACTGCATCACTTTCCTCCTTTTTAGCTGTCATTTATCTGGCTGCTATAGCCAGAGAAGAAGCGGGTGAAGCAGATCTCTGCCTTAACAGCTTCTTTGGGGGTACCTAGGTGACAGGGGTCTTAAAGAACCCTGATGTCTCTATAAAGAGGACCTGTCACTGTATGTGTGCTATCACATAGGGAGCTTGTTATGTGCTTGTGATAACTATAAAATTAAGGGTAAAAAAAAAATGTTAACCCTCCCCCCCACGCGTGTGCGCACATATAAACGTAAAAACGCGTCAGGTGGGTCTACGTGCGAAAACAACAATTACACCACACTTGTTGCATATCACTGCAAATGTCGGAGTGAGAGCAATATTTCCAGAGCCATCAATCACTATTAACACTAAACTGGTGAGCGGTAAAAGCTTTTAAAGCGTTGCATATGGCCAATTTTGGGTGTAGCATTTTTTTGCAATTTTGTGGGCGTGCACAATTTTGAAAGCTTGACATGTTTGGTGTCGATTTTCCCAATGTGGCCCCATCTTTTATATTTTATCAAAAATTGGGTACTAATGTTTTACAACATTTTTTTTTTTTGGTCCTTTTTTTTTATTATATAGTAAAAAAAAAAAATCCTGTTGTGATTAAATACCACAAAAAGAAAGCTCTATCTGTCCCTGAAAAATGGTATAAAATTATTTTCCATACGGCATTGCTTGACTAAATAAATGTCAGTCAAAGTACCGCAGCGTTGAATACTGAAAAATGGCCTGGCCAGGGAGGGAGATTAACACTCCGGTGAGCAAGTGGTTAATGTAGAAAAACCATTTCCAGTTAGAGGCTGTCCAGTTCCAGTTTGGTGAATTTGTTGTTTATCTTTTATTTAATAATGTCTGTAGGAAGTGAGAGTTTCTTGAAAAGTATTCAGTACTAAGCAGCAGCAGCTTTTGTTTTTTGTGGCAGTTTTACGGTCTGTCACTCGTGAAAAAGGAAAAGAGCGCAGAGTGGGCTATTTGTAGTCTGATCTTTGTGAGTTCCGGTGTAGTGAACATAATTTTAGTGATTGCTCTCCTATTTTGTTCTGTTGAATCTCCAATGCTGGGAATGGGGCAGGACAAACAGCGGCGGGAAGATGTCCTATGACATTTCTTTGAGAGTAAAGCAAAGCTAGAGAATTTCCTAAACTTGGCATATTCGTGCTTTACAAATTTGCTGCATACAGTAGTTGACTTTTACACCAGATACCGTTCTGTTCCACAAGTGCGAGGAAGCAATTGATACTTGAGCCTGCTCCCTATATTGGTTGGTGTGGATGTGAACATGATGCTGGATCAGGTTGGTCAAGAATGTGAGTGGACTGGACTGTAAAGTGCCCCATTTTTTTTTTTTTTTTTTAGCATGCACCTCCACTTCCACCCCATTGCCGATTTTGGGGGAGGGATTTTCAGGATGGCCTCTGTTCCTGAACTCTTCCTGCTGAGACTATAACACGGAAGTACTCCACTTTGGGCACCTCCAGCTTCAGAGCTGTCGAAGCCCAGGCAGAGATGCTGAGTAAACTAGTAGGTTGGGGCTTTTTGTTCTCAATCTACTTGTGTTAGTGACAGGGAAGATATCAGGGGTCTTCATAAAGAGCACCTGTCGCTGCAATCACATAGGGGGCTTATTAGTCCCCTTTGGATAGTAATAAAAAGAAAAAAAATCTAACACAGACACATTTTAACTCCACATTTTAGAGGAAAAAATAATAAATGCACACTTTATAAAATAAATAATTATCAATTCATATTGTTTTGCATTGGAGCAAGTAAAGATTTGCGATCAGTGGCTTGTGGGTGCAATGCTCTGGCTCCTGCAGAGTCTTCCTGCTGCCCATGTCCATACTGAGCTACGGGTCATACTAAGAACTACAAGTCCCTCTGCAAAGGTGGCTGATGGAACTTGTAGTTTCTCCATTCACAGATCCTCTCACAGGATCTATGAATGAACGATGCGGCTGAGTGGGCGGAGCCAGAGCCATGGACAGTGGTGCCTAATTGAAAAACGCCAGCCTGTGGGGGTCATGGAAGGGTTAATGAACATTCCAATATGTTTGTGCACATTTGACTAGATTTATCAATGAAATATAAACATAGTGACATGTGCTTCTAAATGCAGTTGCTTTAGATTAATAATTGGATTATAAATAAAATATATGTAATATGCAGGGAGGGGGAGAGAGAACATTAACTTTTGAATAAAAAGTGTGTGTGTGTGTGTGTATGTATATATTAGGGATGCACCGATACTTGTCTCAGTGCCTATACTATTTGGGCGAGTACCCATATTCGTCCAAATGCTTTCGATACCGGAACTGCTGGTATCAGGAAGCCGGGCGGCGATTGATTACATGCCTCCTGGTTTCCTGATTGGACGGGAAGCTGGCTCCATGCCAGGGAGCATGAAGCTGGCTTCCCGGGCAATCAGGAAGCCAGGGGGCGGGTAATGACTGGCCACCCAGCTTCCTGATTAGCTGGGAAGCCGGCTCCATGCTCCCTCGACACACACACCGATCAGCCCTAACATAATGACCACTGAGAGGTGAAGTGAATAACAATAACAGTGATTTATACAATGGCACCTGGAAGTGGGTGGGATATATTAGGCAGCAAGTGAATATTTTGTGAGGGCTCAGGACCTACCAAAAGTGGTCCATAGAAGGAAGACTGGTGAACCAGTGACAAGATCATGGGCGGCCAAGGCTCATTGATGCACTTGGGTAGTGAAGGTTGACCCGTGTAGTTCGATCAAATCGAACAGATATTGTAGCTCAATTTGCTGAAGACATTAATGCTGGTTCTGATATAAAAGGCATCTGAACACACAATGTATCGCAGTTTGTTGCATATGTGGCTGCGTAGCCGCAGACCAGTCAGGGTGCCCATGCTGACCCATGTCCACCGCCAAAAGTGCCTACAATGGACACGTGAGCATCAGAACTGGACCACGGAGCAATGGCAGAAGGTGGCCTGGTCTGATGAATCACAGGTTTTTTTGTTGTTGTTTTTTTTTACATCTTATGGATGGTGGGGTGCATGTGTGTCACTTACCTGGGGAAGAGATGGCACCAGTATGCACTATGAGAAGAAGGCAAGCCGGCGGAGGCAGTGTGATGCTTTGGGCAATGTTCTGCTGGAAAATCTTGGGTCTTACAGTTCATGTGGATGTTACTTTGACTCGTACCACCTACCGAAACATTGTTGATGATCAAGTATACCCCTTCATGGAAATGGTAGTCCCCGATGGTAGTGGGCTCTTTCAGCAGGATAATGCACCCTGCCACACTGCAAATGGTTCAAGAATGATCAGAGAAACACGAGTTCGAGGTGTTGACTTGGCCTCCAAATTCTGCAGATCTCAATCCAATCGAGCATCTGTGGGATGTGCTGGAAAAATGAGTCCGATCCATGGAGGCCTGGCAAAGTATTTCTTAATTATTATTTTTTTCCCAAACAAACTTATAGGCATTACGTTTCCAAACAGCTGGCTCCAACTCTCTTAGCTCAGCTTCCTTGAACTTCTTGTCCAGTACAAGATCACAAGGACAGCACAGTCTCCCGCAGCTGTCTATCTGCTAGCTTGGAGGAGAGGGGAGTTGTTTGCCTTGCTTGTGGAAATACACAGCTTACTAGCACATAGAAGGGTGGTCCCATAGGACTTTTCAAGGAAAAGGAGCCATCCTAAAACAGGATGTCATGGCCAGTGCTCAGGGGACCAGCTGATTCTGCAAGAGACTAAAACTTTTAAACATCAAGAAGCAGCATCCATTGTAAGCAATTTCATCAACATTTGAAATAGCGTAAAAACCTTTTGACTATCACTTTAAGGCTGTGGTGTGGAGGGCCAAAATGGACCAAAACATTGTTGGCTCATTTCAATTGCTGCATTATAATCCTGTAGGGCGTGTACCCCAAAAAATGTTTCGCTGGGTTAGGTAAATGGAAGATCTAGACAATCTTTCTGTGACTGTATTTGTAAGCTATCGTCCAAAAAACGTCCTGGATTCTGTCTCTTCATTGCACTTAGTTGAAGATTATAATATCAAATTTGCAGTAAGTTGTACCGGAGTCGAGTTTATTTTGGCGGGTTTCCTTTTAGAACGGAAAAGTTTTTGCCCTTGTTCATGTTTAGCGTTTCATATCAGAACACTGTAGCATAACATGTGTCCGTCTCCTGTACTTGTACCTTGTTATCTAATTTCTATTGAATGTAGAATGAAATATTCATCTGTTTTCTTTTTTTTCCTCAGCAGGTTGTTATTTGAAGGTTAATTTGGATTTCTCATAACTGGATTAAAAAATCTCATCCTTTGGTGGAGTGAAGCGGTTGGAAGGCAGGAAACGGAGGACGCCATGGCCAGCAGGGCAAGCTCAAGGGCTAATGGAGTAGGCCAGACAAAAATCTGTCAGTTCAAGCTGGTGCTACTTGGAGATATGGCGGTGGGCAAGTCCAGTCTTGTGTTGCGGTTTGTCAAGGGTCAGTTTGATGAATTTCAAGAGACCACTATTGGAGGTAAGAAGCATTGTTGGACCTTTTTGTCTTTGTTAGCAGAGGTTCAAATATAGCTGTTGCCTGCACATAGCATAGGCCGTTTTGTGAGCTGAAGTCCTACTCACAGGAAATGAAGGAAACTGATCTATGGATTGGTATCTTGATGCTTTTCTGAGGTTTTTAAAAATATTAATACATGTCAGTGGTTAGCACTCTGTGCGCGGAGTTTGTATGTTCTTCCTGTGCTTATGTGGGTTTCTTCCAGGTACTTTTGGTTTTCTCCCACACTCCAGAGACATGTGGGTTGGATAATTTTTCTACTGTCTAAATTGGCCCTAGTATGTGTATGTATTCACATGGGGTAGGGACCTTCGATTTATAAGCTTATTGAGGTTGGGTTCACACCATTTTCCGGACCAGATCTGGAATATAGTGCATTGCGTTTTTGCTGCATTTATACTGCGATTTTGCTGCGATTGAAAATGTTTATTTGTTTTTTTGTAGTTTTGATGAGTTTCAGTGCATTCCAGACGAGACAAAATATGACGAGCAGTATTTTTCTGGTCTGGAACAGACTGCGCTGGTAGGAACAGAGGCCAGAAATAGCATAGGATTACATTAGGATGCATTAGGATGCATTTTGGTTCCGGAAACAATCTGGTCTGGTCTGGAGGTAATCTGGATGTGGTGTGAATGGGCCCTGAAGGCAGAGACGGATGTAAATGTACAAAATGTAAATGCCTGTAATAAATTAACATGTGTGTTTCACACTATAAAGTGTCTCAATTTGGCTGAGCCAGAGATTCGTACTTTTGAAGCCCAACTCCAAATAAAAGCCATTCTCCAAATAAAAGCCATTTTCCCTCCCCACACAGCTCGCTGAGACTAACTTTCAAAAATGAAAAGCGCACATACCTTCATTCTAAATGTATTCCATATGGTCATGATACCAGCACAGTACTTTCCCTTCATCTCCAGCCTCATGCTGTGGCTGGGCTTTAATAACACTCTCACTTAAGCTGGCCATACGCCTATAGATTATCTGCAGATTTTCTATGGTCAGATGGAAAAAGTGAAACCGATTCTGTGTGGATGGAGGAATCTCCCACTGGGCCAAGCTTCAGTATCTCGCTAGTCGGCCCCGCTGGCTTTCAAAATACCTGAACAATCTGATTGGATGTAGTCATTGTTCAGGTGTTTTGAGAGCCAGTGGGGCAGACTAGCAAGATACTGAAGCTTGGCCCATTGGGAGATTCCTCCATCCACACAGAATCGGTTACACTTTTTCCATCTGACCATAGAAAATCTGCTGATAATCTATAGGTGTATGGCCAGCTTTACACTGTGAGCTTTAGGCTGCATGATAATCCTATGCCCAGGGGGTGTCCATGACTGCGTGGACTCACAGGAAGTGGAAGATTCTGGGGACATTCAAGCTGGAAGTGGAACAACCACTATCAATGAATGATGTGGAGACTGAATACAGGATTCGTCCTTTCATTTCGTATAGTGTCCTGACTCTGGTTATGTATTTTTATACAGCATTCGGTAGATCATTTTTAATGATGTGCACAAACTTGCACAAAACTATTACAGGAGCAAGTTAATAAAATGGTAAAACCATATAGCTAGTGAGTGTGAGAACCTCTGGGATTTTGTGCGGTCTTTGCCACTTTTGAAAAAAATGTGACCGTGTTCATTGAGACAGGAAGTGAGAAACCCCCAAATTTTACAATCGCAACTGAAACACCTTCACTTAGTCCGAACAACAGCTGGCGGCATTGTGGCAAAACGAAGGTGTCCCCACGGAGCAGGGGCTTGGTTATTACTGCAGCCTTTGTTCCTACACTACTGTGAACCTATCTGTGCAAGACTATTCTACTTGGATAAATCCAGATGGGTTCATTATGTGATGAAGCCCACAGGGACCTTTTTCTCCCCTGCATGGTACATTCACTGTTTATCACTTTTTACTTAAGCTCGTTGTAGCCAGAAGAGTGCTATGCAATCATATTTCTGTTCAGTCAACTGAAAGCCTCTCATGGCTTCTGTGTGAAATGAGTGGGAGGCTGGGACTGGTGTGCATGGTTCTGTGTAATCTGTGAAGTGCTGCATGGTATGTAGTCTCCTAAATAAATGACTCCCAGACTTCCATTAGACATGTTACACCAGATCCCATGCATAAACCTTCATTAAAATGGAAACATCCTTTCACTCTGTGTCCCAAGAATTTTGAAAATGCCTCAACGGGGAGCACACTTGCAGGCACAAAATATTTCTGGCATGTGCTTTGATCATAGGCAGTTCTTAATTACTTTTAGATAAATAGTAATAGATTCTCCATGTGGACAATGTCTTTGTAAAGGGCTCCCCTCAGCAGCACTACCTCATGGCTCCAGCCTTCTATTCAGAAATTTTTGTAAGCCGTCGGCTGGTGTCCGTTGCTAAAGGGAGTGGTGACATCACTCCCCTGGACATCCCCAAACCCAGCACTGTCACATGGGTAGAGGTCACATGTTCCCCCGAGGACACCAGAATTTGTTGCTAATTATGTGTCAGGATGCAGAGCACCCCCAGGTGGCGCTGGAGCCGGGTCCTGCAGTTCCTGTGCTCGCCTGCGGGTGTCTCCAGCAGCCAGGAACTGTAAGGAACCTGCAGCTCCAGTACTCGCCTGCGGGTGTGCCCCAGCTGTGACTGATCATCCCATCACCTGGTGCTTCCTGGGAGGGTATTTAGGCCCTCCCTGCAGTCAGGAAGCTGGGTGAGTATTGTGTTGCTTAACCTGACTGATGCCCATGCCCTGAACCTTGCTCCCTATCTGAAAACCTGTCACCGACCCGGCTTGTTACCCGACCACTCTTCATCAATCCTGTTCCTGTACCGCGCTGCCCTCCTGTTAACGACTCGGCTTGTACCTGACCACTCTTCTGGTATCCTGAGGCCTGCTGTACATCTGCAGGCCTGTTACCCCTCTTTGTTGGGTTTGTAGTTTTGTTGATGTGGTACCAATAAACTGTGCATATAACCCTATCCTGTGTGGGCATATTAATTTGGTCATCCTGCGTGGGTACCTGCATGTGGTGTGAGAACGCCTGTGCATGGTACCCTGACATTATGTCAAGAGGTAGGGGTGGCGTGGGAGCTCTGGTAATCTCCCTTTACAAAGACACTGTCACATTGCACAGAATGAGGTGGCTGCATTAGTTTTCTGGTTCAGGCTTTTTTTCCTTTTTTATTTTCACCTTGTGATCCTACCAGTAAAACACTTCCCATCCCAGGATGAGAACACCTCACTTATTGTACTGTATCGATGAAAGCTGATTTGCACTACAACCCCACCCCCCCCCCCCCCTTCTCATCTGTATTACATAGAAGGGAGGTGTTTTGTATTTCAGAAAGGATATCTGGGAAAGCTCATAATATTGTTTGATATTTCAGTTAGGTACACAGGTTGTTAGTAGGATGTCTGAGAGGATCAAAAGGTTTTGTTCTGTAGGGGGCAGAAAATGCACTATATCCAAAAAAGAAAACTTAATACAACCACCTCCCCTAACGACATATAAGCTGCAATATATGACCTATATGTTTCTGAGTTTAGATATATGTTAACCCTTTTGTGACCAGGGGTTATTGATGCCTATATGCCCAGACCAATTAACAGCTGGTTGACTTAACAATAACTGACTAATTTGCATGCCTAAATAAACTGTACATATTTTGTAGGCATAACCGGTATGAAGATCAGAAGTTGTAACTTGTTGTATGTTTGTCCTGTGTCAGCAACTCAGAAGATTAAAGTCAGATCAGCATGACTTCAACTTAACTAGCATTCCCCGGAAGAGCGTAGTACTGATAGTTTTTAAATGTCTTGCCGACTTGCTTTAAAAAGCTTGAACTGTTTATTATGTCCTTCTGGGACCTGGGTGGTGAGATCTCTGCCCTTGAGTTCCCAGATCTGCACACATGCTGCAACATTGGAGTCCGACTTTTATCGTCCTTTTGGATTTCCATCTGTTGTTTGGAGAATGAAATGAGAAATGTGGTCACATATACTTTACAGCAAGAGGAGTAAAGCTTTGGCGTGGGCAGGAGAAGACCTTAGAGCAGTGGTTCTCAACCTTTCTAGGGCCGGGACCCCTTGGTAACATTTGCCAAGTCGTGGTGTCCCCCACCGTTAAAATTTAGGGATGTTGCGGCTGCTGCAGCGACATCTGGCGGCGTGGCGCGAGAACTGACACTGCTGCGCTAGGAGAGGGCTAAGGAGGACTCTCACCTAGCACAACAGAAATCACACAGCGACCCACAGGTTGAGAACCACTGCTATAGGCAAAGACAGGACCGGGCTCTGCAGCTGGAACTAGAATAATTGGATTTAAAGTGTATGGCTATATAACGTATGAGGTACATACTCCGCAGTACTGTCACTGACAGAGCAGCACATAGAGTTCAGTGTAAACCATGAGAGTTACCCCTGATAAGATATACTTACTTCCCCTTCTCCAGTCTGTACTTCTCCCTCCACACTCTACTATGCTGGAGGACCTTGCGGTGTGTCACAGTCATGTGACCAGCTCCTGGGATGGGCGGGGTCGGCTGTGCTATGTGTACGCCGTACGCCGCCAGAATAAAAAAAAACAGAATAGGAATGCATAGCTAGATTCCTATTGGCTATTTCAATCTCCCATCGGACATTGTGGTTTCTCCCATTGGTTTGTACATCACTACAGAATGGACAAGTCTGCAGGAGGAACCACTGCATCTGCCAGCAAGCAGTGAAGCGCGCGGTGTTTGAAGACAAGGGCCATCTGAAAGATTAGCGTTTTCCCTTTTCTTTTAGGAAGTATGGTTTTGAGTACAAGTGACCCCGTGCTACCTCTGCTGAGCACAATGTAAATAAATCTGACCATATAGCCATAACAAATTCAGAAAAGCAACAACTAGCAAAAGTGAATAAATAATCATGGGAAATAAAATGTTTATAACTGTACATGTAAAATTGAAAAAACTGCTCTCCCTGAAAACGTCATAGTTGTCAGTTATGGGAGAGGACACAGATAGTGTTACCTTCTACTGACCACCCTGATTTTAGGGCATGTTGGAACAACAAATTACTGTGGATGTTTGGTTCAAAAGGCAAACTAAGTTACATATTAACAACCCTTCTGTCATCAGAACCTCAGGTCAAATTATTTGGTTTTATTTGGGGATCTAAGCAGTTCTTCTATTAAGAACTGTACAACATTTTTATTTTGATCAAGGTAATATTCTAAAGCTTTGAACCATAACTGCACTTGTTTTCCTGGAGCTCCTTTTACCCTGTCATCAAAGTATCATGGGAAATGCTAGACCAGTCCTCACTTCTGTTGCAAAACATCACATGTTTCCAGACAGAAATAAGCTTGGCAGGTTTCCTGATTGCAGACATGGCAGCGGGTAATGCTGTTACTGCTTATTGTGCAAGATGTGAGCAGCCTTCTCTCCTACAATTGTGTGCACTAAATTGCAATGACTGATAAACTGTTAATACTTCTAACAATTGGTTATATGTTCGCATAGTACTCCTCCATTTTAAGGGACCAGTTACCTAAAGCAAATTATGACCCGTTGCCCAACTTCCTGATTGGTCAGGAAGCCTCGGGAAGAGATCTTTCGATAGAAAACTGGCTTCCCAGGCGATCAGGAAGCCGGGCGGCGGGTCATGATCCGCCGCCCGGCTTCCTGTTAATCGGGGTATCGGTATTCGGTATGGGCGAGTAAAGAAAAAACTTTTGTTCTGTGGCATTTGGTGTATATTCAGTTCATTTGGGCTTCAAACTTTCAATTTCCATAAAGACATATTACACCCAATCCTTAAAATATAGATAGCCTCTACCAAAAATGTATGTTTAGGTTTTTATTGAATGGAGGTCATTTATTTCCTATAAATGACCTCCAGAAGGAAGTTTGGGGAAATCTTGTTGATGGACATACAAGTGGCAATAAAATTCAGAAGTTCTAATCCTTTTCCAATCTATCCAACATTGGGGGGAATAAGGTTTAAGCTGGGCTTTAATCACTTGATGTTTACATTTTTAAATTAATAATTCTTCACCTTTTTATGTTCCCTATAGCTGCCTTCTTAGCTCAATCTGTGTGTCTGGATGATACAACTGTAAAGTTTGAAATCTGGGACACTGCGGGACAGGAACGATATCACAGCCTTGCCCCCATGTACTATAGAGGAGCTCAGGCTGCCATTGTGGTGTTTGACATCACCAAACCGGTAAGAGTATTTTACCATCTTTATAAACTTAAGCTTTACACTGTATTTGCAGACATTCATGATCATCAGTGGTTTTTGTTTTTCTGCCAGTGATGAAGCAAGTTTACACTGCTCTATTTTAGTTTGTATGTAGCCTCTCAGCACATGAGCACACGCAAGCAGTTGTCTATATTGCCAGCCACTTTATGACCACAAATTTCAACACGTTTGATCATTTTCACTTAGGATAGTTATCAGTTATATAAGTGTTACAAGTTTTCAGGATGTACCATTGGCCCAGTTTCCTGCAGTTATTGCACCATGCCCTGCCAACTATCTATATTTTTCCAAAATGCTTTTATTCCCTGGAGAATATATATATATAT